GCAGTGGTGCGGAATGAACACCCATACAGGTGTTTACACTTTCCTGCCTTCGGGATCCCATGGCATGCAGACGATCAGAAATGGCTCGTCGATCAACATTTAACTTTTCTGCCAATTGCTGTTGAGTTTGCGCAGCGTCTTCATCCAACAATGCTTACGAATTTTTTCGCTTGACCTGGGCGTTCTTTGTCTTCCAAGTCGAAATCACCACTTTTGAATGGTCTAAGCCAACGCACACAAGCGTCTTGCGTTGGGACATTGTGTCACCGTAAGTTTCTACAAGTATACGATGGCTCTCGCTCGCGTTTTCCTTTTCATTGAACAAGAAAAGCAGTACGTGCCGCAAATGCTCTTTATTTCTTGGCTCAAAACTCGACATGTTCACCGCACGAAAAAAATATGATGCTAACTCGTAAACGTTTAAACAACTATGGCGTTTTAAAGGCTGCCGTCATAGCAACAAAATGGCATATCAGATAATACTGTGAACCACCCCATATTTCTAGTGGTATCTCTTGAAAAAATTAAGAGTTATTAACCGACAGACCTGATATACAATTCTCACGTTGTCGACGTGAAATTAACATTGCCGGGTTAGTGTGGAAAATTCACACTATCAACGATCAACAACGCGTGCACACATACACGATAACCCAAAGGCTGTAGCGATTGATTGTTCTATTATAGTTACGTGTGGCGTCACGGCGGTCACATCGCATGTCGTGAAAACTAAACAATATAGCATCAAAGTTGACACCGCGTTCGTTGGTGCGAAAGATTTTCCACACTATCGATGTTAACATTCACACCGAGTTATTTAACCACGTGTGTGTGGTGAAAGGTCACGCCACTATTTTTTACAGCGTGAGTCTGTAACCCTGCGTTTTTCATTGTCTTGTACAGTGGTGCCCGATGGCATTTGACCACATGCCATGCGCCGTTTGAAATTAGTTCGATTGCACGAGGGCCAGAACCCATGGCCGAAACGCTGTGCTAACGAAGGATGTTTTCCTGTTGCCAGTGGTGTCGAATTCTTCACCTTCTTCTTCCTCGCGCACTAGGCCTAAAACCTGTTCTATCCAGTTCTGGTACTTTGAGCTTTTGGTTTTGAACTCGGATCTCTCCGTTTATTTCTTTACTAAGCAGCGCACATTTCTCTGCGCCACACTAGCCACCAGAATAAGTACTTATTTTTCTTCCACGCGTATTAGGCTTAAAGCCTGTTCTATCCAGTTCTCGTTCTGGTACTTTGAGCTTTTGGTTTTACTCCATCTTCGGTAGGCTACTAACCCTTGCCGAAGGAAACCTCTCATCTGAAGGGCTAAACCCCTAAAGGGGTGTGTGTGCGGCAGGATACTCTCGGTGGTTGCCACTTCCCTTCGGGAGATTCCGAAAAAAAGCAGCGGTGGATTTGAACTCGGATCTTTTCGTTCATTTCTTTACTAAGCAGCGCACATTTCTCCGCGCCACGCTCGCCACCGATTTTATTCACCTTAATTATTTAAAATTTTACCGGCGGTAGAGTATTTTACATTTGGTTTCGATAAAGAAAAAGGTTCGCAAAGGGCGAGACTCCGCGCAGTGTAGGTGTAGGTTTTCAAAGACACAGAGTTTTCGAGGAGCCCGCCCGAAATTCCGCCCAATGACGTTACCGTGACAAATGAGACTTTCAGAGACCGACCCCGTGTGTCTTCGCGACATCTGTTGCGCACGTGAGAGCCAGGACCTGGGCCAAGACACGTCCGTAATTCTGGTGTAATACGAAATGCACATTAACCCATTAGAGAGCCTGGAAGATGAAAACAAGACGCCCCCTCGGCGCGAGCTCGCGGTCGTCTTGGTGATAAATTAAACGCTCGCCGAAACGTCGCTCGGATCTACTGCGGTGCCTGCACAGGTACACGCGTGGTAGAGACGCGAAAGCGATAGAAATAGACGGTGAATTGGATGACAAATCTATTCTGTTCCTAATATATCGCGCGAGCGATACGTTGCTTAACGCCACGAATCAATATCAGCGCGCTGAAGTCACGCGAGATAAGGTAACGTTTGTTTTCGTCGTCTATCACCGAGACCGGGGCACTTTTAAACGAATTTATCGCTTTATCGTTACGAATCTCCGTAAACACAGACGTTGGACGGATATTCGCGAGCGACCTTCGAACGGGAGCATTTTTTCCGATAAGAACGAGACAGGGCAATACATTTTCATGGCACGTCGGCTAAAGCCGGACGTTTTCTCGATTTTTCTTCAAACCAGTTTGAGTCCGGTCGCCAGACGAAATCGATGGCATCCTCGATAGGCGACAGGCGTATCTGCGCCGGGGCGTGCGATCGCGCCCAAAGTTCCCCAGATTAACAACCGAAAACCAACCGGTGCGAACCGGTAAAAACCCTTATACGAAATTACTCCGATCTGCGTATAGGAGAGACAGAAAAGGGCATCGGATCGCGAGAGGAGGGCGAGAGAAGTTTCCTGGTATCGAAGCCGTGAACGCCCGTGGCGTCTAAGGTAAACTTCGCCGTGAAACTTTCCTCTGCGCGCGTCGATCGGCGATCGGCGATCGCTATCAGCGCCACTCGCTCGAGCGGGAGTTCGCGGAAAATCGCCGAGCGGCTTCGACGCTCGTCGAGACAGAGATCGGTTGATATTTATTTAGCTTCCTCAGCTATTTCTAATACGTTGAAATACATTTGTTGCAACATATTCTTTTAACGCTCTTTTTAATGCCTCGATCTTTTCACACTGCCTTATTTCGGTTGGTAACGCATCGTACATTTTCACTCCTTCATAGAACGTAACTTTTTGCGCACTTCTGGCTTTGCGAAATTGAATTACGATATCGCCTGCCGGTCTAGTTTGTCTAGTTTGTTCTAGTTTACTTCTTAAATGTTCTGGTAACATATTTTTTTAATCTTAAAAATAATGAGAGAGAGAGAGAGAATCTGGGAAAAAAGGACAGTTGGCAACTCATTTTGGAGCCCACAATTACTAATCGACTTGTTTGGATTGTTCGTAACTCTAATCTTTTACGAATTTTACCCCGCGTAACTAAAAATCGCTATTAGCTATTCGATCTATACTCAAGATTTTTAAGTAACACTAATCAATTCTCTCAATTAGTTCTGTCGACATTCCCTAACGCAAAGATCAACCGAAATTTTTAGGTTAAAAACGGTAAAAATTTTTTGCAGTTAGGCAACTTAAAAATTCTACAGAATCGCGAGCAATTCAAATAATTCGGTCACTAATTGCGGGCCCCAAAACGGGTGGCTGTCTTCCTTTTCCCCAGAGCGGGGCCGAAAATCGCGATCTCGTCCGACTCCCCCAACCCGCGGCCTTCGACGGGACGAAACCGGGGAACGTCGTGTCGTCGTCGTCGTCGTCGCACGAGATCGCGAGCCTCGAAGCGCGTTGTCGCGCGACACGAGGGCGCGAAACGCGCTACGACTGTCCCGAATCGCGAAGTGCTCCAGGCGAGGAGGAGTTTGCACGATGAATCATTCAGGGGTCGACGAGAACGGGGAACGCGATTCGACTTCGCACGCCGCTCTCTCTCTCTCTCCCTCTTTCTCTCCAGTGGATTTTGATTAATCGTAATTCGGTGCTACGCGAACGGGACAATACGCGCCCGACTCTCCGTCCCCTCCAAAAAAAGGAAACAAGGTCAAACTTGACGCTAATACAACCGTCTTGTTACAGCCTGGATTTTCGACTCCCGAAATACATTAACACGTTATCTCGCGGAAGATAAAGCAACGAGCTATAACACAGCGTTATTTTATCGAAGCGTATCGTTAAGAAAATTGTTTGTTACGCTTTATCGGAATAAATTATCATTGTCTCTTATAACGCGCGATCAGAGCGCCAGATCTGTGTGACACAGGACGGGCGACCGATTTCAATCGAAGGAGCGAGCGCACGAGACGAAATGTCTCCGTGAATATAATTCGGCCGAGTAATTGATATACATTGTGTTGCGGAGCAAATACGCGGGGCCAAATATTTCCCCGTGAATACATTAATACAATCGGGCCAAATCATTGCCGCGCTATGTAATTTATTAACAACCGACGTCACGTGACGCGGGACGAAAAAGCGGACGCGCGGTGGACAAACATTTCCCCGCGGACACCATCTCCTGGGGCAAATTTGGAGCGTCCGCTAGTAACGACCGCGCGTCTGGAGATTGTTGATACGCAGCTCGCACGTTGCCAAGATAAGCGTTTCGTGTTTGCGCCGAGCGGCCGAATTTCATTTGCCCAGCGCGAATATCGCGCGGCGTAAACACGCCGCGGGAAACGCGCGCGCGCGCGGGCGACAATGGGGCGAAAATTGGCTGCGATTATTCGGCGTTTACCGCGAAATCGGACGTGCGGGCGAAGGTCGGGCGGAAAACGCGGAACGCCGCGGCGTCCGGCGCTACGTTCACGCTGCACGACCGCGGCCGGCCCAGCGTCGCCGATACCGATCTCGGTTTTCTCCGTTTGTCGAGCGAGGGAACAGAAGCGTCGGCGCTCACCTTCTCGAGGCACTCCTGGCCGATGGCCTTCGGGTCGACCTGCACCTCCAGGATGACGGAGTTGGCCTGGCTGACGAGGCACCACATCTTCGCGATCCGCGTCCCCCCTCGACGACCTTCGAGTCCCCGTCGAAACCGACTCCCTCGCCGCTTCTCGCCTCGTCGTCGCTCTCTCGGCCTCCCCACAAGAACCAACGTGCACTTTTGTCGCGGCAAGCGATACGCGGCGGCGTTTACGGCGAAAGCGACGGCGACGAAGGTGACGGCGGCAATGACAACGATAACGACGTCGACGACGACGACGACGGTCCCTCTTCCTCCGGATACGCGGCTGGTCGGCGACCGGTCGTGCCCGGCGGTACGCTCTTTGTCATAACAAAACTTCAAAAGCCACGTACGCGCACAGCTGTCACCGCGACGGGCTCCCGCGCTACGACGACTACGTGCGACGTCGGCAACGTGCTCGCGCTCGTACCGGGCTCCGTGCGCGCCTCGTCGGCTTCCATTTCTCGGCGCGGAATGGCACACGCACCAACCGTGGCCTCCGCTCGTCGCCGCCGCCGCCGCGGGTCAGTTCGCGAAATCGAATCGCTTTCCGGCCGCTCGATCGAGTGGCGCTAGCGCCGCGCGCTCACCAACGTCGGCCGCCGCACAGCCCACACGGACGCGCACGCACACGCCCGCGACCCGCCAACCGTCGCTGGTGTAAAGCGCCGAGCGGGGACCGCGGGGGGCGCGGGGAGCCGGCCGCGGTACAGCTGATCGGCCCCCCACTCCGCCGCGCGCACGCGCGGCGGCGCGAACGGCCGCCCCCCCCCACCGCCGCCAGTGGCGTACGCTGCGCGGGCAATTTTATTTTCACGCGCGGACAATGCGCGCGGCCGGTGGACTTTGGAACCGCGTTGTCTCACGTTCGAGGCTTTAAAATAAGTCACATTGGACCTCGGGGTGGAGTTTCTATTTGTAATTTTGCACTTTGGACGCGCACGTCGACATATACCGCTACGATTCTTCTAATGTGCCTCGCGTCGCCGCTTATTATTCGGGTCGTAAAATTAGAGATGGGGAAATTTCATTCGCGGAATCGTGACACGGATTGTTTAACGCCGGACTGAGGTTGAACGCGAATCCGCGGTATCCGTTAGATTCGCGATTACCGATTCGAAAGCATCGTCATATTTTGATTTGGAATACAAATCGAAGCTCGACGAAGTAACAAGTTGCTTGTAACGAAGTTAGTTTCTTACGGCAACTCGAACTTAACTTCGTTACTTTATCTCCATCTGCAACTTAACTCGGTTACGTTAAGGGCCGTCGCACACAAAATTGCATAGTTGCATATGCACAGCACAAGACAGTCTAGACCAATAAGCATTTTATGTAAATCAACGTGGCGACTCAATGCTTAATGTTCATTGGTTTAAACAGTTTTCATGCTGTGCCCAAGCAGCTATGCAATTTATATTCAGGGTTGGGAAAGTTACTTTATAAAAGTATCCAGTTACAGTTTCTTCGCTAAAAATGTAACTGGTTACAGTTACAAGTTACCAGTTCTCAAAAGTAACGCGTTAATTGCCCAAGCGCAATGCCAGGAACAGGGAGTAGAATTTCTGACGCGTTGAATTGGTTGGAAGGAAATTTTCGACGAGTCCAACGCGTCAAAAAAAATTCTATTCCCTATTCCTATTGCCTGGCATTGTGTGATAGGCTTTACAGTTACAGTTACTCAAACAGTAACGAATCGTCGTGTTGCAGTTTACTTTCTTGCGATGAAAATAAAAATATCAAATCTGCATTTCAATTGCAAAGCGTTAAGAAAGGCGTTTATGCAGGGCCTGATGCGATCTGTGGAAGTTTAAAAAATATATAAAGTAACTATTAATGTAACTATTAAATTAGTTATTAGTTGGCGAAAAAATGTGTAACTAAGTTACAGTTGCAGATGGAGAGAAAGTAACGAGATTAAGCTAGAGTTACCGAAAAAACAAAGTAACTGTAACTGCAACTTCGTTACAAGTAACGAGTTAGGGCCGTCGCGCACAAAATTGCATAGTTGCATATGCATAGCACAAGACCGTCCAGACCAATAAGCATGTTATGTAAATCAATATGACGACTCCGATGTTCATTGGTTTCAACGGTTTTCACGCTGTGCACATGCAGCTGTGCAAAATTTTGTGCGCGATGGCCCTTACTTCCCGACCCTGTATATATTTTGAACCTCCACAGCTCGCATTAGGCCGTGCATTCGCGCATAAACGCCTTTATCGACGCATTACAATTTCAAATGCCGATTCGATATTTTTATTCTCATCGCAGGAAAGTAAACCGCGAAGTAACGATTCGTTACTTTTTCAGTAACTGTAACTTTGTTACATGTTTAGCGAAAAAAACTGTAACTAGATACTTTTACAAGTAACTCTCCCAGATTTCATTGTGATTTTATCGGATCGCCCGAAATTGATTTCGCAATTTGCAGCAATCGCGCGATTACTAAAAGAGAAATTAGCTTGAATTGAATTTTGAAGCGGCGTGCACGAGTACTCGAAGGCACGGGGGAAAGATTGCCGCGTGAAATTTTCACGGGTCGTCAATAACCGACAAGGCCGATAACATGGTTATTGATCGAGGTTTAACAAACCTCTCTCTCTCTCTCTCTCTCAATATCTACGTATATATTTCACGATTCTTCAAACGCCTGCGTTCGATGATTCCGCAAACTCGGCGACTCGGGACTACCGAAAGGAAGGAACTGTCTAACGCGCCGGAAACGAAACGCTTGCGTAATCGGCTAGAGTATATCGAGCAGGATCTTTATCACAATACGCATTGTAAATTTAGCGCGTGTCCTTGAGAAGCGCAGCTCTCTTCCCACCGATACACCCTCACCCGACGAGATCGACGTTTTCCCCGAGCGTACGCGCGAGAGTCGCGGCCGGGAGGAGCGAAAGACGCGGCGCATTTTGTGGGTGTTTTTGTTTCTCTCTCTCTCTCTCCTTTCTTTTCTCTTTGTATTTCGAACACTAAGACTGTACAGACAACCAACCAGCTCACAGAGACAAGATATTACATGTTAAGGCAAAGCTGCCAGTTCTCGCAGGATCAACGGAGGACTTGAAACGTTCCCGCTGAAAGATAAAAAGAGGGTCTCGAATGCCGGGCTACATCGTCGCGCGGCCCACCGTCGACTGGGAGCGTGTCCGTGAGCCGCGAGAGGCTGTAGCGAGGAATAAAAAGAAATGTCGTCGCGCGTCCTCGATGCGACAGAATCAATGGAATGGACATCTAACGGCGTACACTGAACGACATACAACTCGTTACCATCACCCTAATAACGCTCTAACCGTGATCTACCCTGAACAACCGCACGCCGTCCCGACGCGTCTAGGCCTTGGCGCAGCGGGTCGACGGTTGCTCTTACTTTTTTTTTGGTCTTTTTCTTCCCCTCGTTACGACGCAACTACGTCTACAGCAATTCTCAAACTATCCGAATATGTCCGTGCCGGTGAGAAGCTCAGCGATAATAACAATACGGTTACATTTATTGTCGTGTAGCAACTGCGGGAGAAGATTTTTCTAGTTAGTAGTTTGAGTATCGCTGCCTACAGCTACATTGTATACAGCACTCTCTCTCTTTCCGATAAAATATAACATACGATATAACAGCGATAAATACATATCGAGAATATTGGTGAACGGTAATAGTTAATGTATATTTAGAGCGTATCATGCTTATCAGCTATTTAGATGCGATCCTTGCGGCTTAGACCTCGATGCGGTAATTATTGTGCAGTTCCGGCTTGATGTCGTACACCAAGTCCAAAATTTTTAGCATGACCTGAATCACACAGAGGGCCGACATTGTAGTTTATCAGAGACAAGTGCCGTGTTCGCTCGTATCGACACGTCGACGGCGAATCTGCGCAGCGGGCGCACTTACCGGCTTTTTGTGTACGGAAACAGCCTGGTTCATCTCCTCTATCTTGAGTCGCGTGTCCGCCTCGATGCGCGCGGCCACGTCCTCCTTCGAACCCATGTGCTACGAGCAACATTGCCATTATATCACATCGTTCCGCCCAAGTATCGAGAAGTGCGAGTCCGACAGACAGAAATTTCAATACTCACCTTGGCCTCAAAGTCGCGGAACTGCTTCTCGCGTTCCTGCCGATACTTCTCGATCTCATCCTGAGCCTCCTCCTTGGCCTGCTTCAGACGACGCGCCTTACCTGCGAATACACAAGAGAGACTGTAATGCAACGCTGGGTCCTGATTTTTTTCCCAAATCCCTCGCACCAAATATTCAGACTCGATCTCACCTCGACGTTCGCTTCGTCAACGCGAAACTAATGCCTGAACTCGACCATCGAGGGCCGGTTTCACAAACGTCGGTCAACTGCAAGCCGAAGGTCAATCGATTCTCTGTCTCTTCTTACATAATAAGACGGAAAGGGACAGGGAGTCGACTGGACCCTAGTTAACAGTTAACCGACGTTTCTGAAACTGGCCCTGGAGTCCGGACGTCTATTAAGAAAGCGAAACCTCGAGGAAATCGAAGCCAGACAAGCCGAGCATAGAAGATTGAATTCGCATAAGCTCGCGAACGAGTGCGACTAGCAGTGAGGCTGATGTTACATTTGTACGACGAAGTTTTCAAGCGTATATCGACTGGCTGCAGAATCGAGAAGGTGTCGGGTCTCTAGAAATGTTGTATTCTGCAGCCAGTCAACATGCCTGAAAAATTTGTCGTACGACAAACGTAACGGCACCCCAAGGGCCTGGGCGGAACGGCTGTCTTGTATTTTCTTAGACCACAAGACAGTTATTGTGTGCGTTACTTGAAGACAACGATTTAAAACGTAAAACATAGTCTTGAGAGTGCAGGACAGCCATTCCGCTCAGGCCCTTGCACAGGCAGATCGCGCGCAGGTTAGCCAAGACCATTTTCACCGCGTAGCGTAATTTCGCGGATCGGCGCGACCAAGGCTGGGCTGCTCCGCGCGTTTCACGCGGCACGGAGGAATACAGGGCTCGCCGTACGACGTGGGATCAGTCGCGGAAGAGGAAAAGGTGCCCGAAAGGTTACGGTCCGCGTCGCGCGGCGCGCGCGATATTTTCTCCTCCCCGGCGAAATACCCGGGGGGGGGGCGACGAGTGCACTCACGTTTCCTGGCGTCCGAGACCTTCTCGGCGGCGCGCTTTTCCGCGGCCAGAAGCTGCTGAATACCCTGCGTCTGGCTGGCCATCTTTGCGAGCGGAGAACGGCTGGCTCTGTTACGAATCGATCATATGACTTTGGAGCTTCCGCCCTCTGCCCCGCCTTAAACGACGGCGCTCCGCTCCGTCGCGTGTCCCGTGCTCGCCTCACGTGGGCTCCGCTCCTTCCCGTGTATCGCTCGACGCTTGCCGAGCTCTTTAAAGATGCCAGCTGACAGCCACCGAGATTGCTCGCGCGAGCGAATTTTCGCGGCTCCTCTCGAGAGCGCCCGCGCGACAAAATTCGAAGCAAGTTCCGCGACGACGAAAGCCGCGCGACTCGCGCACTTCCTGAATCGATCATGTGATCGACGAATCGCACGACGCCGGCCAATCCGGTTGCTGCGATAATTTGATAGATCGAACCGCTTCTTCAAAAGTCTCATCTTCTTCAGCTTCTTGCTCGATTTAGGAATAAACTTAAGAATAAATTTAATAAAAGCCGACAGATCAGGCCGTAGAATCGAAACAGGAAGGGATACAGAGTTGATATTGTAATGTCTTATATGTCGCACGTATATTTTTTATTTCGTAAGATTGAACGACCTACACTGGCCAATGTTTTCATTCAAAAACCGATTACAACGTTTCGGTCCTGGATTACTACAAAGAAGTGTAAATTTACTTGACCAATGTGTAAGTTTTTATTGATCATGTTAGTCGAGTGTGTAACAGTACGACTTTTCTCTTGTCTCCACTCAGTTTGTCACTGTGCAACGGTGTTGGCCAAACGATTGACTAACAACGCAGTAATTATCAAGCCCAATGTCCACGATGCTAGAACTTGGTCCAAGTCCTTGGTCCGAGAAACGTATAGCCAATAAAATTGCCGCTCTTCCGTAAAAGCTACAAATCGATTGGTTACAAATTTCTCAATCCAAGAACTCGGACCAAGTTCTAGCATCGTGGACACTGGCCTTTACTCAGGTATGAATTTCTAGTCGATTTGCGATATGCCCTCAGCATTGTTTTACAATTTGCAATTTGCGATTTCAGATCACTTGAAAAGGGCCCAGGACCAAAACGTTGTAATCAGTTTTTGAATAAAAACGTTGGCCAGTGTAGGTCGTTTAATCTTACGAAATTCGGTTTCAAATCACCGGCGATATATAATTACCGCTTTTGCATGTTTTTTATGTACAAAAAATTATCATTTAAAAAATAAAGCGTAGTACAAATTAACTCTATCTCAGGAACGACTTTTTAATATACGTCGTATATTAAAAGCGTCAATAAGATAGAATTAAATCTATATCGCACTTTGTTTGTAAACCAATTTTCTGTACATTAGAAAACGCCGTCCTTAAGCCTTGCGTCCACGATGCTGGAACTGTGTCCTGCAAGTTCTAGTTCCGAGAAATGCGTAGCCAATCACCTTGCAGCTTTTATGGAATAGCTGCAGGTTGATTGGCTACGCATTTCTTGAAACTAGAACTTGGACACAGTTCTTGGATCGTGGACACAAGACCTTAGTCGCGTTGCTCGATTTCGAGTGTCGTAACTCCTCGGCGTATGGGTCAGACGCATAGGCCGGTATTCATAGTCAGATCTTGTATTCAAAACCATCTCAAGATCATCTTTAGGTACTCCGTAGCCGACGAAATGTCCCATACAGCACCTTTAGATAAATTCAAGACTGTCTTGAATAGAAGATCCGACTATGAATACCGGCCATAACGTAATTGGAGGAAAGTACGACGCCAAAGCTCGTGCGCTAATCTACGTTTACGTTTGTCTTTGTCGCAGAGCTATTACTTTGCGCTCTGAAACCATATCTGAGCCAGATACAACATGATCGGTCTCGCGCGCGCGGTTCTAGCTACGCTTATACTTGGCGCGAGACACTACAATGTCTCGTGATAGAATCTACAATTTTACGCCGGTTTCAAACGGTTCTGTTGAGGGGTTCTCTTGGCAAATATACCCTCAATGGGTTACCTTTTCCTTCAGAAGCGACGGTCGAATAAAACCCAACGATTTCTAGTCTGATTCGAATTCGGATCTTCGGCTCATTAGAGCAGCGGTTAAATCTGCGCCACGATCGCCACATTAAAAATACGCGTATGTGTATATTCCATAATAATAAATAGGGGTGTATCTTCGGAAAGTGAGGTACTAAGACGTACCACTTATTAATTTTTCGGCGAGAAAAATAACGTTCGTATATTTTACACATAAAGTGGAGGTTGTTAAATCCACGGTCTAAGGACGCAGACACGAAGCACATTGCTTCGGCCGAAAACTTTATACTATGCGAGTTCCTTGGATGTTCAGCCTGGTGTTCAACCGAATCTTCTCTTGGCGTTTCTTTTCCTCTTTAAACGCCTCGCTATTCGCCTTCCGCTCTATCCTCCTTTCCTGAAACCGCCAGAAATTTCACGTAAAATAACAACACATAAAATTAATATAATCCACTCAACAAACGTTTAACAAGATTACTTTTCTGTATTCTTTGAGCAGCTTTTTCCTTTCCTTTCTCCCGTCGCTGGTCTCCCCTTTGGGCCTTATACTTAAAACGCTCAAGGTAGATTTTCTGCTCTCCGCTACGGACTGCGGGCCCTTCGACGGATTGTTTTCCAAGTCGAATTGGGCCAACGTTTCAACTGTTAATCTTCCAGCATTGCCCAATACAGCTTTGGGAATACCGGATTTCCGGTCAATTTCAATTTTCTTGGATCGCTAGTAAAATACAACGAACATACAAGGCCAATAAATATATGTATAGCTACATCATACAGATTTACATTTACAAATTTGCCACTGAAACGATTCTTACACATAATTGTGAAAATATTTTGAATAGTCTACCTTGGGAGGATCTGAAATCAATTTAGGGTGGTTGTAAATGTTGCTGTATGTGCTAATAATACTTTCACAGTCCCATTTATCTCTTTCGCGAGCATCGACAACAAGATCCTCTAAATCTTCTTCTTCCGAACTCGCGTGTTCTTTCTCCACAATCTTCATTCTGTCCTGCATAAGCTCCGCGATATTTTCCGTCTGCAGACACAAGGAAAAATAGCACACTTTTCATCTCACTGTACCAAATCATACTCACATCTTCCCTCTGCTTCTTCTCAAATTCAGCGGCATATTGCATAATAAGATCCGAGTTGTGCGAGACATATCCCTCTATTTCGTCGCAGTCCAAAGCACCAATTTCATTTTCGTCGTACGCAGCATACATCTACGTGTAACAAACCAGAAAACATGAGAATACAATAACGTCGAAGTGCTTCAAGAAAGAAAAATATAAACCTGTTCAAATTTGTCGTCCAGCAACGTGAGTTGTTCATTCCTTCTCATGACGCTGCTGCTCATAGAGTATTCTGTAAACCTCGACTTAGTCTCCTCGTCCTTAAACGAATATTGAGGTCCGTGTAAACTGCCAACCTCATCTGCCTCCTCGTCGGATAAATCCATGTGACCTTCCGACGAGACATCCGAGTCGCTGTGTTCATTTCCCAGTTCGTTCAATTTGTATTCTAAAAAAAAAATGCAACATCACACAAAGATCAAGTGAACGTGTGACGCTGCACACCTTAGGGCTAGTTTCACAAACGTCGATTAACTGCTAACCAGAATTCAGTCGACTCCCTATCTCTCGCTATCATATTGGAGAAAAGTCCTCTATACGAGATAGGACTCGACACGAGATAGCAGGTTTTCAACGTCCAAATTCCATCACAAATCTCTCTTGGCTACGATTACACGATCCAACAATCAATTTCCCACTAAACAGACTTCACTCTAGAGGCAATGAATTCATGGTGAGACCACCAGACGACGCCTGTTAATTCAGCAGCAATCCCGCTATCTCATACTAGGAGCCTATCTCACACAACAGGGGACTTTCCTCTATCTAAGGAGAGAATGAGAATCAATTAATCTTCGGTTAGTGGTTTATCGACGTCTGTGAAACACGGCCGTTAGACGAACTTACCGTACTCTCTGTCGGAATCCTCGCTGTCGCTGTCTCCTGTGTTAGCGAGTTGTATGAAATTATCCTCCAGTTGATTTTCGGGATCGTCGAAGTCAAAGTCGTCGTCCATCGCGGCGACCACGTCCGGATCGTAGTCGAGTCGCGGCCCGGAAACTGGCGCCGCTTTATTGAGCATACCGACCTTCTCCTCGACATTCGACGCGAACACGGAGGACGGCAGGCTGATCTTCGGCGTGTCCTCGCTGCGCTCGGAGCTGTTGGAATTCTCGACGCGCTCCCATTCCACCGACAGCGCGTTGACGTCCCGAAGATGCTGCAGGTAATCGTAGTCGTCGTCAAAGTAAATCCCGTACTTGCGCTGCTCCTCCGTGCGTTTCTCCCTGTCCAGCGACTTCCTCTCCGTCTTCGCCGCCTGCGCGTCCGCCGCTGGCACCAGGACTCGCTGCGGCGCCGTTTCATCCGCCACCAACGGATCCTTCTGCGAGCGATGAACCAGGTGGAATGTGACGGAATTCTTCTTGTCGATAAACCTTTTCGTCGTCCCCTTCGGCTGCAATCCCGTTGTTATGTTATTTATCGGCAACTTAACCTACGGGCGTTCTATAAAACCCGAGTTTCCGTGCGCGCGTACAACAACTTACCATCTTGCTCTGTCGTGCCGCGACTGACAGTACAGAAATTAATAACGTATGCGACAGAGGTGATCGTAACGAAATATTATTGTGTACTTCAATTACACGAGCCCATGTGGTCCTTCATTTAAAGTAAAACTAGAGAGAAGCCTGCGGGCCACTCTAGGGCCTGTGTCACAGTATAACCAGTATGCCCACTCGCTCTTTTGTTTCACGTTCGCGCCGATCCGTACTGCGCATCCGACATGTTTTTATTATAACCAATCACAGGATTTTTGTACGTGTGTTAGTGCAAAGTCGGTGTGACATAGAAAAATTCGCAGTGT